GGGCTGTGAGAGGCACTGCCTTCTGCCACGTCCTGTTAGGCACCCCCCAGAGCGCTGGCCAGGTCCTCCTGTATGCGGGGACACGCTGCCGAGCTGATGGTACATGGATGCAGGCCTTCAGAAGGCTGAGCCTTCTGGTCTGGTGGGGAGAAAGTGTGAAATATGTTGGAAAGATGAAGATCGTTTACTTTCCCAGAGCGTTGGTCTTCTGCATATTTGAGGAGGCAGCATGTCCTGCGGAAGCCTTTGTGAAGGGACTGGTGGAATGATTTCTTCTCTCCGTGGGTGTCTGTCTCAGGATGTAGTGGCCGCACGTGGGGCTGCAGCATCTGGCCTGCGTGACTGGAGTCTCCATCACCACAGTGGGATGTGGGATGTTCTGGTCACGCACCAGTGGGAGTCGGGCACACCTGTTAGGGCGTTTGCTCTCCACGCTTGAAGCACATGCTGTGGGGACATGTCGGGCTTTGGAGCCTCCCTTGGCCTCTGCGAGCATCAGCACCCACCTCTGTAGGATCCTGTGTTTGTCACCAGGCCACTCCCGCGGTAGATAATTTCATCAGAAAGCTTTGTCGAGTGTAAAGGACTGTGTAAATTCACTTCCTGTGGAAACAAGACTGGTGGGAGGCTTTTCCTGCCAATGAAGCTGGGCCTGGGCAAGGGGTCAGGGAAGGCCTCGCTATGGAGGTGCTGCCTGTGTTCAGATAGGAAATAGATGGGAAAGAGTTCCACTAGGGAAGAGCCGGGGCAGAGGCCCCGGGGTGCTGGGTGGAGGTCAGACCTGTGCGTGGCTGGCAGCGAGAGGAAGGACAGGTGAGCCGAGACATGCGGGGTCTGGCGGGTCCCTCTGAGGCCGGGCTCCCTTCCAGGTGTGGTCCAGCTGGGTCCAGGATGTTACAATTACGCACTTAAGTCTTGATTTGAATGTTTACTTTCTTATCATGGAAGAGGAACCAGCAGGAAAGAACAGACATTTGGTCTTGGGGAATGTGAAGGCTCGTTGGAGAGGCAGAGTCTTGAAGAGCCAGTGACAGGTGGGTTTGTGGCCGATGTGATGAAGGTGCTGTCACGGAGGCCAGCTGCTGAGGGTCGTGTGTTTTGGGGCAGTGCCGTGCGGTGGATAAACTGGTATAAACTGGTAGATGGGAGGGGCACAGGAATCGGGGAGCAGTTGTGAGGCCTGGCTCAGATGGTGCCTCCGTTCCTGCCCGGCTCAGCCCTTCGGCACCTGGGATTCTGCATTCTGGGTCTTTTTTTTTTTTTTTTTTTTTTTTTTTTTTTTTCTGAGACGGAGTTTCGCTCTTGTTACCCAGGCTGGAGTGCAATGGCGTGATCTAGGCTCACCGCAACCTTCCACCTCCTGGGTTCAGGCAATTCTTCTGTCTCAGCCTCCTGAGTAGCTGGGGTTACAGGCACGCACCACCATGCCCAGCTAACTTTTTGTATTTTTAGTAGAGACAGGGTTTCACCTTGTTGACCAGGATGGTCTTGATCTCTTGACCTTGTGATCCACCCGCCTCGGCCTCCCAAAGTGCTGGGATTACAGGCTTGAGCCACCGCGCCCGGCCTGCATTCTGGGTCTTACAGAGCTGTTTACCGCAGGGCTGACAGCCATTCCCACTGGCCACGTCTGAACTCTTCCCCTTCTCTCTAGCGCCGTGTGAGCTTCAGGAGGGTTATTTAAAAAGCAGCGCCACCTAGCCTGGGCCCAGACTGTCCAGGTGGCCTTCGACCGCGGGGCCAGGAGTGCTCTGCAACCCGTGCGGGGCCTGTGCTGCCACCATGTACACGCAGGAGAGGGGGCCGCGGAGGACAGGGTGTGGGGCAGCCAGCGAGTGCCGGGGGCGGTGGGGATGTGCTGTATGTGTGGTTTTGTAAGTGCTGCACAATAACAGAAATCTGAGAAACCACAGATGGGACTAAGACCCCACTGTGAAAACCAAATCGTGGCGAATGTCTTGGAAGGTTTTATTTCCACCTTGAGTTTCTGCTGTTTCCGGGCTGGCTCGATTGCGTGGCGCGCTGCGGCTCTGTGCTGTGTGCGGTTTTGGCTCTCAGAGCAACTTCTTGTTTTCTTACATGTTCTTTCTGGGCACAAAGGTGCTTTTAAAAAAAAGTCTTAAATAAAAATGTGTCATAGAAATTCTCAATACACAGAATGAAACCTTGTGGAATTGTGAGCTATATAAAAGGCCACAGAAGGCCAGGTGTGGTAGCTCACACCTGTAATCCCAGCAGTTTGGGAGGCCAAGATGGGCAGATCATGAGGTCAAGAGATCAAGACCATCCTGACCAACATGGTGAAACCCTGTCTCTACTAAACATACAAAAATTAGCTGAACGTGATGGCGTGTACCTGTAGTCCCAGCTACTCGGGAGGCTGAGGCAGGAGAATCCTTTGAACCCAGGAGGCGGAGGTTGCAGTGAGCCGAGATTGTGCCACTGCACTTCAGCCTGGGTGGCAGAATGAGACTCCATCTCAAAAAAAAAAAAAAAAAAAAAAAAGGCCACAGAAGTGAGATACTTTGCCAGGATGCATGAGCTGAGGAGCTGAGGCTGTGGGGGCCTCCCGGGAGCAGCCCACGGCGGGGCTGCAGGGAACGCCTTCTGTTTCCACGTCCTCTGCCGTCTCCTCGCTGATTGGATGAGAGCATTCGTGTTCTTTCTCAGTTCCATGTAGCCTGAGACTTCAGGAAGGCGTGGCCAGGGGAGCTCATGGGGCTTTTTCCCTCTTCCGTTTAAAGTGGCCTGGAAACATGAATTGGTTTCACTTAGCCAGTGTGGGCGGGAGTGATATTTGGTCATTGTTTCTGAAAGATATTTGTTTTGTTTTGTTTTGTTTTGTTTTTAATGACAGAGAGGAAAGGCCAGTATCTTAAGGCTGTGATATATTATGTATCTGAGCCACCAACACACACAAGCCTTTGCGATTTGTACAGCGTCTGGTGATGTGTTCTGTCTCTTCCAGGCATGCTTAACAGAACTCTGAAGTTTGAGATCATAGCTTGTTCTCAGAGAAGACTTCTCACTCTTTTTACGTGATTTGTAGTCTGATCATTGAATTAGACAGTGGTCAGAATCAGAATACAAGGCAATTGAGAGCCTCGTCAGTATCTCAGTGACAGGCAGACATACGTTCCTGTTCAGAAATCGCTGGGCTCCCAGTTGCAAGGCTGTGCCAGAGCAGTGCCACATGTGGCTGGCTCCATTCCTCCAGGAAGGTCTGTTTGCGGGGCGCCTGGGCACGGCGTGTCCTGCCACTCTGCCAGCCAGCTCTGCCAAGGCCTCCAGGCTCCAGGACAGCCAGCGCCCATCCCTTGTCCCATTGATGCCCCCTTCGGCTGTCCCCTGAAGCCCCAGGGCCTGGAAGGACTCCTACCTGGTGAGGAGCCAGGGACTGTTTGTGAATCGTTGGCAGTACAATTTTTACATCCCAGAGAAAGAACACAAACCTTTTAAAAAGAAAACCTCACTGGTCACCTTTGGAAACCATGACTTTGACACTGGTGGCTGGCATGAGCAGCGCGCTCCGCTTTCTCGTGTGAGTCATATCTCTGGGTGGCAGTGAGGGCAGGTCTCTCTTTACAGAAGTGTCCCAGCTTATCATGAGCAAATAGGAGTGAGAGATGACACCTCACCGTTTCGCTGCAGCCCTAGTGCATTAATGCATTAGGTCGTGATCACGAAGGAGAGAGGCGTTGCTCGCCTCTGAGTGGAAGCACGCCCCACCACCTACAAAGTAATCTCACCGAAAGATCGAGATCTTGGTGCCGTGTTACAGATAATCCAGGCATCTGGGGTGCTGTTGGCCAAACCTAGAGAAGGAAAGTGCCAGGACCTGCCAGCAGCAACCAACAAGCCTTGTTGGGATCTCAATTCAAATGAACTTTAAACAAACAAATGGGGGCTTTTTTTTTTTCTGAAGACAGTGTCTCCTCCTGTCGCCCAGGCTGGAGTGCAGTGATACGATCATGGCTCACTGCAGCCTCTGCCTTCTGGACTCAAGCGATCTTCCCACCTCAGACTCCCGAGTAGCTAGGACCACAGCTGGTGGAGTGTGCCACCAATGCCTAGCTAACGTTTTGCATTGTTTTTAGAGACGGGGTTGTACCATGTTGCCCAGGCTAGTCTCAAACTCCTGAGCTTGAACATCTGCCTGCCTCAGCCTCCCAAAGTGCTGGCATTATAGGCGCAAGCCGCTGTGCCCAGTGGAGAGTCTTCATCTTTCAGAGGCACAGCCGGCTGGATTCCATGAGGAAATGGTATGCCCTGAGATTTGCTCTGGGACAGGTCTGGAAGTAGGTGGAGACTTGGCGAAACAGGGTTCACCTAGAGCTGATAATTACTGATCCAAGAGGTGAGACATGTATTTTTATTTCTATTTTAATTGCATGTTAGAAATTTTCCATAGTATACAATTCATCTAGAGGTAGGAACAAAAACATGTAAATATGGCTCCCAAAAATGGCATAGGTGTCCAGGGTTTGTGGGCAGCTCTTGGGGTGGTGTTGAAACTGCTTCACGTGTGCCTGTGGAGGCGTCCTTCCTGGAGAGACCCTGGTCAGATGCTGCCTGTGCGTGCTCATTGGAGTGAGAACATGGGAACGTTCTCGCCACACAGCCTGGGCCACATCCGATTAATCTGCACGTGCTTGCTGTCCCATGAAGTACTGGCGGCTGACAGCCGCTTCTGTCACCAGCGTTTCATCCATCAGGGTGTGGTTTAATTAGGGACCACAGCCTCGTCCCTGCTCCGTGACATGCACGTTCAGCACAAGTCCACTTGTTCTGTGATCATCTGTGGGAGGAGAGGCACCGTGCTGCTGGTCGAAATCCTCTTCCTAGCTCCAGGCAGACACTGTGGACAGGGCCTGACTGATGACCTGGAAGGGCCGGGGGGCTGGTCTTTCAGGGGCGGCAGCCTGGAGCGGGCCCGCTGGGTCCTGGGCCTCATGGGAATCCAGTGCTCGCCACACTGAAGGTGTGCTCCTGTGTTTCAGACTGGGCCAGCGCCATCCGCGTCGCCGCTCTGGACTGCATGGAAGACAAGAACCAGGCCGTGTGCCATGACTACGACATCCACTTCTACCCCACCTTCCGAGTGAGTACCGGGACAGCTCTGTTAAAATCCGCCACACTGTGGTGCCTGCGTTTTGGTTGCTCTGGCTTTGGCTGCCTGAAACTCAGCAGGAATTGGAGGAGCTGATGTTTGCGGGGGCAGCTCTTGTTCACCTTGCTGTGTGGCGGAAGCGTCTGTGGGACTGTCCGTGCACACACAGCCCTGCGCACACGGAAGGTGCGTGAAAAGACCCCTGCAGCCTGCATAGCCCTAGGGCGTGAGGACGCTGGGAGTGTGAGGGGTGGCGCTCTGGCCTGAGGCCGCACCTGTGGTCTGTGTACCATAGGACTCCTCAGTGGACCACACACACATACTCTCACAGGTGCACACTCACACGCACCCATATGCATTCACACACTGCTCATGCCCTCACGCGCACTCACACCCTCACACCGGGCACACACACAACCTCTGCCTTCCTGAGCTGAGGCCAGCCCGCAGAAGACGCTGTGCCCGTTGCTCCCACTAGGGGGCAGAGGTGCCCGTGCCCTCGCCTGGCTGGTGCGGAGCCCACGTGGACACACGGGCGCCGCCACCTCCTGCACACGTGGATACGGACATCTCCAGAAATGTGGGCGCTTGGGGCCCACTTCACAGGAAGCTTTGTGACCTGTCCTTGTCAGCCCTGGCACCCTGCTGTGTGGTGCGGTGTCACGTCACAGTGGCTTCCTTGCTTCCTGGGCTGCTGTTTTCACTGTGCCGGCCGTGCCTGTGGTCCTGCCCGACAGGGGGCAGGCGGGCGGCCCGGTGTCAGCCCCGCCCCAGGGCCTCTCGGGGCCTGTGTGGCACACTTGCCCGCCTGCCCCAGCGTGTGATCACATCAGGATGGCTTCCTGTTTTGTTTTAGCTTCAGACACAGGCCACACTGCTGTGTGGAAACTTCCGGGCCTTCTTTCTGTGACTTAACGGGACCTCCGTGATGCCCATTGGATGATTGGACGCAATTGTCCAGTGGTGTCGCTCTGAGGACCAGAACCCCTCGTTGCCAGGCATGTGGGCTTTTCCAGGCTTTGGTGGCTTTGAATGGCCCTGCTGTGTGCATTCCCGGGCGCGGGAAGAGCTGAGGCTGGAAGAGAACCCCTGGGCCTCACGCCAGGCCTGTGCTCGCCCACAGAACAGCCCGGCAAGAAGCACCGGCAGCTTCGTTTACACTTCCCCGGGGCCGTGGTGCCAACACAGCTGGCTTTGTGGGCCACGGTGTCGCCGTGTGAAGTGTCCATGCCTGTGGGCGTCACCGTGTGGAGTGCCCGTGCCTGTGGGTGCTGCCGTGGGGAGTGTCCGTGCCTGTGGGTGCTGCCGTGGGGAGTGTCCGTGCCTGTGGGTGGGAAGTGTCCGTGCCTATGGGCGCCACCGTGTGAAGTGTCCGTGCCTGTGGGCGTCGCCGTGGGGAGTGTCTGTGCCTGTGGGTGTCGCCATGTGGAGTGCCCCGTGCCTGTGGATGCCACCGTGGGGAGTGTCTGTGCCTGTCGTCTGCCTGTTTCTCTCTTGGTTCAAGAGTGCTTTTCCTACCGATTTCATCCCCGCCCATCCTGTAACCTCATCTCATCACTGTAATGTGCCTTTTGATGCAGGAAGTTTTTAATTTTAACATAAGAACCCTTTTCATCACTTAGAGGTACTGCATGGGGTCTCCTGCTCCTGCAAACCCTTTGTGTCGTTGCAGCTCACCGTTAGGTACACGCTCACTATCCAGTCCCAGAGAGCAGTGTCCTGTATGATTCCAGCCCGGTTGAGTTGTGTGGCTTCTAGCCCTGCTGGGTCAGAAAATGTAAATGATGGGAATGCTGATTGGTGCTACCCTAGCCCCTTCGTAAATCTGATAGGAAACGCTCATATGCACAGAGGCACAGAGAAGCCTGAGGTTTCATCAGTTTATGAAAACTTTCCGAAGGAAATTAAGTAAAGTTCTCTGAGGTGACAGTCACTGTGTTGCTTAGACAAATGTGCAGATGCCCACGGGAGGCTGCCTCTTACTTGTTCTCTGTTTTTCCTCTTAGTATTTTAAAGCATTTACAAAGGAGTTTACAACTGGAGAAACTTTTAAAGGTAAGGACGAAAGCATTTATTTTAATTCCTGAGATTCCCCTCTTAAACCTGCTGAAGACACACAGGCCCAGAGCCTGGGGAGCTACCAGCCGGGTCAGCACCTTTGCCTCTGCTGACCTTCCTCCCAGTTTTCTCTTAAGAGTTCAAACATTAATAGCTTCAAAGAGAAGTTTTCATTCTGTGCTTTGCCTTGCTTGGCAAATATGGTAGTAAAAACTTTTTCAGAGTGAATTTTTTCTTGTAAAAATATTTGGAGACGTGCACAGATCACATGTACACACCCAACGATCCCACCTAGATGAGCATCGCCCAGAGTGTGAGCAGACCCTGCAGACCATACCCTCTCTGGGTGTGAGTGAGCTGGTGGCGTTGCCGGGCCTGCTCCTGGCTATGCTGTCTCACCATCCGCCGCTGTTGCCATATCCCTGTGGCCCATCCACGCTTGTGGCCCAGCCACGCTTGTCTCATTGCTGTGTGGTCTCCAGGCGTGTGAATCCAGTGCTGTCTATACCACGCCTGTGGGTGGCGTCAGCACACCACTGGGATTGTACACCCCACTGCCACCTGTGCTCTGCTGTCTTTGGGTCCAGGTGTGGGTGGGACTGCTATCCCTGGGTATGGGCCTGCCCCGCAAGGACAGCTGCACACACAGCTCTGACCATGCTGTGCTTCCAGCAGGACCTAACCGCGAGCTGCAAACAGTCAGACAGACCATGATTGACTTCCTGCAGAACCACACGGAAGGGAGCAGGCCCCCTGCCTGCCCGCCCCTGAACCCCATCCAGTGAGTAGCTCTAGGAAGAAGGCGGCATTAGACTCACGTGGAACTGCGCGAGAAACTTAATAGGTTTTATTAAGTGATGTGGCCACTGGGACGTGGTGGCCAGCTTGATGCTGTTGACAGCACTAAAAGCCTCTTTCTTTCTCTTAAAAGGCCCAGTGATGTTCTTTCTCTCATTGACCACCGTGACAGCCATTACGTGGCTATTGTCTTTGAAAGCAACAGCTCCTACCTTGGGCGAGAGGTATTGCGTCTGTGTGGGCTGTGTGTGTCGCCGCGTGGTGTGATTGGGGGTGGTGGTGGATCGGGTGCTGGTCACTGCTTCAGCGTCTTGTCTCCTGCCCGTGGCTTTAGTCCTCGTTCATGATCAGAAGCATAGTTGGTGTTACTCAGTGAAGTCACTGGTGCCTGGAGAAGAGTGTTAGGAGGAATGAGCTTGGTGGTGGGAGGGTTCAGAAGCTGGCCTCACCCAGGTGTGAAACTGTGACCCACGCATCTCACCCTGAGGTCATTCCGGGTTTCTTATACGTTATTACTGAGATGTTTTTGTTGCCGTATTCTGAACTCTCAACATTGCTGCCAAATCCAGGATTCTGTAAAACATGGTTTCTGTCATTGTGGTACTTTGATTTCACACGAACAGTCAGTTCTGGAGCCTTGCTTTTGGCCAAGTCTAAATAAGATCCAGGGACCAGGTGCAGGGGCAGCTCACGGAAAGTGGTTACTGCCAACCGTCTTCCCGGAGACGAGAGATGAGGGAAGGTCTCGTCACACATGCGTTCGCCCGGCACTCACCCTGAGCTGCTCCTCCTCCTCCTTGCAGCTTGCTGGGCCACTGCTTTTCTGTCCACTGCGGAGGGGCTGGCGGTGGAGGGGGGAACAGCTCTGCCCTGGGAGGGCTTTGCACTGAGGGGCTGGCGGTGGAGGGAGGAAACAGCTTTGCCCTGGGAGGGCTTTTGAACTGGGGGGTGAGGAGGTGGAGGGAGGGAACAGCTTTGTCCTGGGAGGGCTTTTGGAGGCGCACGTGGGAAGGGAGCTGCAGGTATCTGCTCTGAGGCCGTCTGGCTTCACGCCCTGGCTGCCCTCCTGGCACCCCAGCACCCTTCCTGCAGGCTTGGTGTGATGCCAGGATGCCTCCCTGTGGTTGGCTAGATTCTCTGTGGAGGGCTGAGGAGCCACTAGCGGTGTGGTGTTCTCCCAGCCCCCTCGCCCCGTCCCAGGGCCCCCTCAGGCACTCGCTGTCTCAGACGGAGCCTCCACACACGCACACACACATGCAGACCAGAGGCAGGAGTTCCCCCGAGAAGAGGGGCGTGCGGGCCCGTCTTGCTGCTGGACCCGCTCTCCTGCCTCCCCGGCATGCCGGAGCGCTCAGGGCAGCCAGGCTCCACCCATGCGGGAGGAGTGCTCTTCAGCACAGTCACGGCAGGGCCCAGGCCAGAGACCAGTGTGGCCCCAGAGTAGTGATCAGCTCTCAGCAGACATGCGCAGCTCAGGAGAGGCACAGCCACCCAGGGTGCGCCCGTCCACTCTTCTAGCCAGGGCCCTGGATTGGAGAAGCAGCTGGTTTTGTTGCCGTCTAAGAGAAGGAGAGACATATGCCCCATGTGGCGGTGGCACACACGGGGTTTCTCCTGAAATCCTGAGATGCCACTCCTGTGGTCCCTCTATCAGACCCTACTGCTTCCCCTTCAGCCCAAGCAAAACCAGACAGGAGCAGGGTGGCTGGGGAGGAGCAGCAGCTCGAGGCCTGCTGCCCCGGCCACGAAGCTTCCACACGCGGGACAGGTGTGCGAGGCCATGGGGCGCGGCTGGTGTGTGCAGGGCCCCACTTGACCAGTGTCAGTGTTGTGGGGGGCACACTGGCTTTAGAACGTCAAATGCAGATTCATTAATAAGTGTTTTCTTTGACTGGTCTGTAAAATTGCCAAATAAGACTGTCGTTTCTGCCCATGGCGTGTCCCATCAGTTGCCCTGAAGTGTGATAAAAATGAAGATGTGCGTGAAGGTCTTGCCTGTGGTGGGAGAAACGTCCTGTCCGGTTGTGAAAGGCTGCCTGCGAGGCCGTGTGTCTGCACAGGGCTGCGTTTTCTGGGAAAACTGTCCTCCCCTGTGGACGTGTCACTATGTTCTCCTCACCCAGGTGATCCTAGACCTGATCCCATATGAAAACATCGTGGTCACCCGAGCGCTGGACGGGGACAAAGCATTTCTGGAGAAACTCGGGGTTTCTTCGGTTCCCTCGTGTTACCTGATCCACCCAAATGGGTCACGCGGATTGATTAACGTGTGAGTTTCAGGGTGGGATCCGGGAAACCCGTGCCGTGTAGAGTTACCGGACAGAGGCTCTGAGTAGACGGGGCGAGTCTGGTGTGAGATCCAGGGAGCCCCGGCCCCCCGCCTCCCTTCCCCGGGCAGATTTGGGCCCTGGCCCTCAGCTCTTGGGTCTTGCTGATCTGCGCCGTTTTCATGGATTTCTCTTTTCTCACTGCTGTCGCTGCACCTGGGAGGAGCCTGGCGTGGTGACTCACCAAGAGCAGGAGAGTAAACTGGCTGAACCAGCACATGCTCGAGGGCTGCTGGGCCGGGCTTAAGGAGCAGCGGGTGCTCCTACCCTGCTCCCTGTGGACTCTGGGCTGCAGCATGGGCCGTGTCTGGGGCTGTCAGGAGAGAGGTAGGGTGGGCGCCAGGTCCTGCCCGCAGGCAAGCCCACGCCCCCGCCTCCGCAGGATGAGAAGTAGGGTGGGCGCCAGGCCCCACTCCTCGTGCTGCTGCTCTCTACTCTGAGAGCCACAGAAGCCTGACAAGCCCTTTGCCTCTGCGCAAGTGCTTGTGTGCCCCTGAGATGCACCAGCTAAACAGTAGAGACGTCTGCAGTAAGGCTGGAAAAAAATGAGGCTGGGCACAGGCGAGTCATTTGAGTCTAGGAGTCCAGGACCAGTGTGGGCAGCATGGTGAGACCCCATCTGTACTAAAAATAAAACAGCTGGGCCTGCTGGTATACGCCTGTAGTCCCAGCTACTCGGGAGGCTGAGGTGGGAGGATCGCTTGAGCCCCACAGGTCAAGGCTGCGGTGAGCTGAGATTTCGCCACTGCACTCCAGCCTGGGCGACAGAGCCAGATCCTGTCTCAAAAAAAAAAGCAAAGGATAAATGGTTGAGAAAGTTAAGTAACATGCTGAGGCTGGAGGGGACCTGGCCTCCCCCTCACCCGGAGAGAAGGGCGGCCCCTGCCCCAGCCTGCATCCCTTTAGCACGTGCTGGTTCAGCTGCACTGTCCTCTGCAGCTCTTGGCGAGTCCCCAGGCTGGGCTCCTGGGTGCAGGGACGAAGCAGCGAGAAGACAGGACGTGTTTCCTGTCTCTGGCAGCTTCCAGTCCGGGCTCTTCTGAAGCGACTGGGGCAGGGAGGGAGCCATGCAGAAGCCCTGAGCACCACAGCTGCTTAGCCGGTTTTCTGTCCTTTTGAGAAAGAAACCAGGTTCGTGGCTCACACCTGTCATCCCAGCACTTTGGGAGGCTGAGGTAGAGGATCGCTTGAGCCCAGGAGTTTGAGACCAGCCTGGGTTGATAGTGAGACTCCATCCTGTGAAAAGTAAAACATTAGCTGGATATGGTGGAGCGTGCCTGTGGTCACAGCTACTCGGGGGGCTGTGGTGGGAGGACGATTTGAGCCCAGGAGGTTGAGGCTGCAGTGAACTGAGACTGCACCACTACACTCCAGCCTGGGCAACAGAGCAAGATCCTGTCTCAAAAATAAATAAATAAATAAATAAATAAATGAAAATAGAAAAGATAAAGCTGGAATTCAGGGTAACCACAGAGGCCATTGAGCTTGTTGGGAGATGCTCTGAGTGCCTGGGGACCCCGCCCTGCCAAAGAGGTGGCCCTTCCAGGCCCGGGGCACCCCACTGCCCTTGGCACAGCTGCCTGAACCACTGCCAGGTTGGTTCAGCTTTAAAAGTATCCCTTAGACAACTTCTTTATGTAAAATAATGTTAATGTTTTTATAGGTATTTTAATACTTTTGTAAATACCACCCTTCCGTTCTGTCTTCAGCAACAGCAAGCCCCGGGTCACTGCATCGACCATGTCCTCGCAAGGGCAGCTCCACGCCGTCCACACAGGGCGGGTGTGCAGAGAGCTCGGGGGGCTGACATCCACCCAGGCCCGACTTCCAGATGCCCCGCTCAGGGCTGACAGATTGTGGGCGCGTCGGCGAGGGCTCTTAGGCGTGCTGGGAGCCGCGGTCGGAATAAAGCTGATCTTGGCAGATGCTCAACCCAGCTTCGCAAAACGCCTTAAGATCCTCACAGACATAAATGAGTCATAGCTCTGTCACAACTGGAACTGGTTGTAAATCTGTGGATTTGGTGTGTCTCCTCTTATCCCTTAGGTGGCAGCTCAGCCCGGCCCAGGCCCCGACAAATGCCTGAAGGCTGAGTGGGTTGGGCCAGAGCTTCCCTGAACCCTGGCTTCTGACTGGAGGATTTTCTTGAGGGAACTCTTCTCACCCTTGCCCTCCCCTCTCTCGCAGTGCGAAGCCTCTTCGGGCCTTCTTTTCCTCTTACTTGAAGTCATTGCCGGATGTGAGGAAAAAACCACTTTCCTTGCCTGAAAAGCCAAACAAAGAAGAAAATTCAGAAGTCGTGGTTTGGAGGGAATTTGACAAGCAAGTATTGCTCTTGGACAAAGTCCCCGGGAGACAGCGCGTGTAGACTGCAGGGCGGGTTTGCTGAGAAACCCGTCCCAGCCGCCGAGGGCCCCTAGGAACCCTCCCGGGGCCGGGAGTCCGAGGGGAGCAGCCGGGACAAGGAGGGAAAGGCCAGCGTGCCCTGACGCCGCTGTGTTCCGTCCTAGGTCGAAGCTGTACACGGCAGACCTGGAGTCGGGGCTGCACTACCTCCTGCGGGTGGAGCTGGCGGCCCACAAGTCCCTGGCCGGAGCGGAGCTAAAGACACTCAAGGACTTTGTGACTGTCTTGGCGAAGGTGCGGGACCGTTTGGGTCTGGGCTGCCTGTGGGAATTTGGCCCTGCACAGAGTGGGTGCCCGGGGCCGTCGGACGCTCTGCCGGGGCTCCGCCAGCCTCCGGTGAGGAGGTGTTCTTCACCTCGCTTTGTCCGCCCAGGCCTGCGCCCCAACTCATTCCACCAGTTCCCCAAGTGCCTCCTGCCTGCCGTGCAGTGCTGTTCCCAGCACTGGGGCTGGGGCAGTGGATGTGGAGAGGGGCAGGGGGAGGGGCAGGGGGCATGAGCCAAGCGCCTATTGGTACAGCCCAGCTCTGGCTACCTGGAGAGGAGACGGAGGCACACACCTCAGCTGGCTTTCAGGGGCCAGGGCACAGGGCTTGTGGGGAGAGGGGAGGCCGGGCAGTGCAGATCCAGGTGGGGTGTGCACCTGCCCCACCAGCCAGGTTCGGGGAGCGGTCCCGGGGGCTTCATACTCAGCACCGTCACCAGCACAGTGTGGTGTCTGAGACCACTGAAAGGGTTACTAGGACCAGGCAGAGACACAGCCCAACAGAGCTCAGGCCTGGCTGTGCCCAGAGGACCAGCCAGGGAGGTGGCCAGGTAGAGCTCCACCACCTCAGTTGCTTGCTGCTGTCTAAGTGACACGGAGGCTTACGCTTAGAATATTTCTCTTGCTAAAAGTAAGGTGCATGATAGAATCATTTATAGTGAGCACTTCGGGGCGAGTCTACTGACGAGGTGCTTCAGATGCATGATAGAATCGTTTATAGTGAGCACTTCGGGTCGAGTCTACTTGTGAGGTGCTTCAGGTGCACGCGCGAACGCTGCCCAGGCGGGTTTTTACCCCACGGTGCCACTCAGAGTTCAGAAATCTCTAGCTGGCCTCATTTCCTTTAAGAAAGTGTCCTGCTAATCTGTCCATCATATTAGCAGGGAACAGGGTGGCTCTTAGTGGTGGCTGCCGGCCAGCTAATTCGCGGGAGTCTCACAGCTGTCGAGAGGCCGCTGCCCTCCTCCCCCTGCCTCCCAGTCTAGCCCTGAGTCTGGCTGGGCCCGGAGCTCTTGCTCGTGCTGTAGGTAACTCCTTAGGCCAAGGTATTAATAAGTGATTCTTAGTATTTTTCTGAAATTTACTTGGATGTCCAAAATAAATTTGATGCTGGTAAATGAATCATGGTCCTTTTTAACCTACATTGGACTGAGCTGAGGATGCCCACGTTTCTGCTCCGGCATTGCCACCTGAGGTTTCAGCTCAAGTGTTAAGAGCTCTCCTGGCGCCCTGCGTGTTGCAGTTTGTGGTACAGCAGCCGATCAGAGTTCCTCATAAAAAGACAGAGCCCTGGGGTCTCCTCAGCCTGACGCTCCCCAAGCTGTCGTGATGTCGGCCAGTCTCACGGCCCACACCAGCCCACAGGCAGTTAGCCCAGGCTGCCGGGGATGGCAGAGGGGAAGCTGAGCGGGTGGGCAGGCGGGGTCGGTGGAGCTCCCCATGAGGAAGGGAGAATAAAATCAGCAGGCCCCCTCCAGCTCTGTGATGAGTCACGCACCATGACCTTGCCTGTCACCTGGCGGGAGCAACCCATGGTCACAGGTGGGTGAGCCAGAGACAGGGCTGGGGAAGGGCATGGCCATGGGTGCAGGCTGTCCTGGGGAGAGGTGCTGTTGGACGCCCACCCCACTGCCCCTTGGGTTTCCTGCCTCCCATCAGAGTTCTTAGAGAGGTCCCCATCTTAGATTCAGTCCCTCTGTGGACGGAGGCCTTGTCCTTAGAGGTGCTGTGCCCCTGGCGGTGGGTGCGGGTCCACGTTTGGGCCTGTAGCCCTCAGGGTGGCTCCCTCCTCATGCAGCTGTTCCCCGGACGGCCAGCAGTCAGGAAGCTGTTGAAGATGCTGCAGGAGTGGCTGGCCAGCCTTCCCCTGGACAGGATCCCCTACAACGCTGTGCTGGACCTGGTGAACAACAAGATGCGGGTGAGCCCGGAACCCTCGGCAGCCGCGCCGCGCCCCCCTTCCCTGGCCCTTAGCTGGCGCAGCCTCTCCCCGCTCAGGGCCCTGGCTCCGCCGTGAGGACAGGAAGCAGCGACCGTTACGGTTCCTGTTTCTGTGACAGCGTCTGGTCACGGCCTCACGTCTGCCTTGGCAGCGTCACGCCCAGGCCTTGGTTTAAGGACAGCCCCTGAACGTGCACCGCGACAGTCTGTCCTTCGGAGAAGACGGGGTTTTCGCAAGCAGTATAGTCCTTGGACTTTAAAAATTTTAGTAAGCCAATCTAACGAACAATTACGTGGCAGCCCTGCTGGAGCTTTCCCCAAGCCCAGGTGCCAGCAGGTGCCAGCCTTCGCTCAGGGGACCAGCACCCCGAGAGGTCCGCACTGTTGCCTACCGTTCCCTCCTCAGTACAGGTCGGCAGCTTCTCTGCGGCCCCCGGAGTGTTTAGTAGCGGGAAACAAGCCCAGCGTGCTGCTTGTCAGTGGCACACAGCAGATCTGGGAATCTTCTAGGGGGAATTGATCATGCCGTGATTTTGCCTGTCTTGCTGTTTGCTGGCTGCAACTGAGCAGTGGATGGTGCTGGGCTCCTGGCCTGAGTCTCTCTTCCACCTTGAATCCACTCCGAGCTTGAGGCCATGGGAACATCCTCTCACGTGACGGTGATGTGTGACACCTCCCTTGAGAGCACACCACAGGCTCAGGAGCCCTTAGGGAGGGAAAGGCTGATGAGGCACGAGACCAGACTGAAGGGAATCTGCCCGGGGCTACCAGCCCCACTCGCCAGCGTCACCCGCTCCCATGGCCGCCTCCACCTCCTTGCTTCGTAAAAGTGAGCACACCTTAGGCCGGGCACGGTGGCTCACGCCTGTAATCCCAACACTTCGGGAGGCCGAGGCGGGTGAATCATGAGGTCAGGAGTTCCAGATCAGCCTGGCCAACATGGTGAAACCCCATCTCTACTAAAAACACAAAAAATTAGCTGGGCGTAGTGGGCGCCTGTAATCCCAGCTACTCAGGAGGCTGAGGCAGGAGAATCGCTTGAACCCGGGAAGTAGAGGTTGCAGTGAGCCGAGATTGCACCACTGCACTGCAGCCTGGGTGACAGAGCAAGAGTCTGTCTCAAAAAAAAAAAAAAAGTGAACACGTTGTTTTCTGGCCGAGAATTACTTGACGGTTGACTTCTCTGTTGTTACTTGCCCTTTCTTTTAATACTGTCATTATAGCAAATTCTAATTTAGAAGAAAAGGTAGATACGTTTTATGCTTAACGTTACTAGTTTATCAAGATACAGAAAAACTTTCTCTTCTCTCCAGAGATTGGCTTGAGAACCACTTTAGTAGAGAAAACCATTCCTCTCGTTTGTTTTCTTGAATTTAAATTTGCATGTGGTGGGAGACACGGATCTTACGTGTGCAGCTGATACAGCTTCAGTAAAGTACACCCCAATCACCATCCCCTTAGTCAAGAAGATATCTGCCGACTGTTTTTAATTTCAACCATTATCTTTTATTCTTTGGGTTTTTTTTTTTTTTTTTTTTTTTTCAGATTTCTGGAATATTCCTTACTAATCACATAAAGTGGGTTGGATGTCAAGGAAGCCGACCTGAGTTGAGGGGTTACCCATGTTCTGTCTGGAAACTGTTCCACACTTTGACTGTTCAAGCCTCGGCCCACCCAGACGCACTGATTGGCACAGGTGAGTGGTCCCCGTGCAGGCCAGAGGCGCCGATGGTCTGCCCCACACGCTACCCCAGCCAGCGTGTGTGAAGGCGTGTTCTGCTGTATGTGAAGCAGTGTGTCACCAGGGCACTGAGGCAGGGAGCATCACCTCAGACTCTTTACACATGAGCAGCTCACCCAGGGCTGTGCCCTCAGGGTACGAGTGCCCCTCGTTAGAACTCACAAATATGGGCATGGCTAAAATGCAGGAAATAAACCACAGAGAAGAGAGAGAACCCTGGCTGGGAATTTCCCTGCAGTGTAAACTCCTTGTTTTTGCTTGAAAACAAACAAACAAACAAACAAACAGGAGAATAAGTGAAATCTACTTGTTCATTATCAGCTGTTACATGACAAATCACCCCAAAATTTAGCAGCCAGACCCACCCATGGTTATGAGCTTACAGTTTCTGAGGTCAGGCATGGCCTCATCTGGGTCCTCTTCAGGATTGGTGAGGCTGCAGCCGGAGTGTCAGCCAGGCCTGGAGGGCACCTGGGGCCCACCTGGAGAGAGTGGCTTCCCAGCATCCTCGAGGAGCAGAGAGCAGGGCGCGCCTCCTTGTACATGGCTTGCCTAAGGCCCCGAGCTCCAAGCTGGCTGCTGGCCGGAGGCCATGCCCAGGACCTCTCTGGGGCAGCTCACATCATGGCAGCAAGCTTCGTCAGGGAGCCACCAAGAGGGTGCCCACCCGAGGATGACATTTTGTCATTTATGCCAGATTCTGCTCACTGTCAGTCACCAGGCCCAGGCCACTCGCAAGGGGAGGGGATTACAGTAGGGGTGAGTTTAGGTGGCTGGATCTGTGGGGGCCGGGACAGAGGCTGCCTATAAAGCTTTAAAGTTGGATTTAATAATTTTCAATCATAGGAAATAGATAAAATGTAACTGTTCTGTCCTTCACAGAACACTGAAGTATATATTAGCTTTTAAGATCCCCTCCGAATTTGGTTGTGTTTGTGCTTCCCAGTTTAAGCAGTGATTCAGATTCAGTAATGTTTACTTTAAAGCCAAGCTGGAGTCTTTTACTCACACAGTTTAATCCTGTTTCCAAGAAAATTGTCAAATGCTTTTACAATTATTTTTTGCCATGTCACAAAGTAACCTAAAATTCTGGGGCTTAAAGCAGCCTCTGCTGTGTTTGCTTTTCATGCTGTGGGTCAGCAGTGTGGGCTGGGCTCAGCCAGGTGGTTCTTCTGTAAGTGCTGCTTGGGCTCACTGGTGTGGTTGCCTTCATCTGGCGGCAGCTAGTCGGTCCAGGGGACCTCGGAGTGCCTCATATTCCTGAATGTGGCTTCCCCACCAGGTAGCACCAGGCTGAGGCAGGACCTCCTGAGAGGCCTCAGTGTGGAGTCACATAGCATCGCTTCTGCCACCTCCTGTTGATCCAGCCAACATTTGTGCTGGGAGAAATAGATTCCACCTGGTGATGGGAGAAGCAGCAAAGTCACAGAATGGGAGAGTCTCCTGGGATGGGGGCACTGTAGTGGCTATCTGAAAATCTCTTCTGTCCTGGCTTGCAGGGTGACATTGGATTCCTGCTTCTCAGGGGTCTGGTTGGGGGAGAGGGTGGTTTTTAATCTCAAATCATTCTCATAATCATACAGTAAAAAGAAGTATATGTTTTTTGGGAGAAACCTTGGGAGCTGCCCAAACAGAAATTGAAATCTGAGCATCCACACTGCCTGAGCCAATGCCGAGCCAGACCATGTAAACCCGATTTTGGGCTGGACGCAAGGCTTACACCTGTAATCCCAGCACCGGAGGTTGCAGCAAGCCGAGATGGTGCCACTGCACTCCAGCCTGGGCAACAGAGCAAGACTCTGTCTCCAAAAAAGCTGCTTCTGAAACACAAGGCTGAGTTACGAACCCATGTTTACATGGGGAAAGTTGTGGTGAGAGGAGCTGTGCCCTCACACCGTCCCCCTTTCCATCTGCCCTGATCACACGGGCATGAGGAACGGCCGCTCGAAGGCAGTGTGGGCACAGTGCAGACCAGGGAGAAGTTAGGGGGCCAGGGTATTTGATTTTAAACTCTTCTAGGAGCGGCCCTAGTGTAGTGAAATTGTGAGAGCAGCGTGATGGCAAAGCTCACCACTAACAAGACCCTCAGCGCTCCTTCCTCCCGCAGCATATTGGAAGCAGCCTCCAGGAGTAGCCTCCTGCAAAGAGAATTGGGTCAGAGGCAGCCACGGGATTAAGTCTTGGAAGGGTTTTCTTCTCTTTGCTGTATGTTTAAGCCCCATCTACTAAAATGCCTGCAAGGCCACTAATCCCCCCACAGGTAGAGGTTGACGGTTCTTGTCCACTCTGAAGATTAGGGGGCCCCGCACCCACGGTGATGTGGTGGGAAGAGGAGGGGGATTCCATGGTGATTCGGGGAAGACGTCTGTGGAGCCCTCCTGATGGGAGAGCAGGGCAGACGGGCCGGGTGGCAGGGCCAGCGCCTGTGGACACACTCGAGGCCGAGGAGGAGGTGGTGGTCTGCTCTGCTCTCACCTTCTCTGGGTGAAAGAAACAAGAACCGTCTGGATTAAGGATCGACCCGGACGCTGAGATCAGGGCCTGCGCACAGCTGTGCTCTCAGGGAGCCACAACAGGCGTGAGGCCCGCAGCAGCGTGGGGAGCTCCCCCAGGGCCTGCTGTCGAAGACGAACTCATTCTCGAAAGCGTGTCTTTTTTTAATGCTGACATGTAATCTGTTTTAATCTCGTGGGTCTCCTGTCTGTGCGTTCTGGCTCCTGTATTAGTTGTCTGAGTGGGGACTGCCGAGCCCCACCCCGTGCTGCCCTCCTGGTTTTCTTAGGGGTGCCCCTTCAGTGTGGTGCTAACCTCTTCTGCCACCTGTGGGCAGGGGTTGCTTTCCTGAGACACGTGTTGTTCATTCACAGCGTCTGTGCAGGCTCCCTGGCCTGGCCGTGTCTGTTTTTACCTACCGTGGCACGAACTTTGGCTTGTGGGTGCACCCATCCCTGTGCCCGCCCACCCACTCTGCCTCCTCATGCCCATGGCTGGTGGCAGCCTAGAGTCACTTCTTAAAGCCATGTCCCTGCTTGTGCTGGTGCCCTGCGGGGCTTTCAAACACGACAGCTACAGATTTAGAATGAGCAGTGTCATTGCCCTGGCATCAGCCTCTGGGAGTTGCTTGTAGGGCAAGGGGGACTGCACCCAGCTGGCAGATACCGAGGAGGAGGCACTGCTTGGTGGTCCAGGCATTCTGGCACAGACAGCCGGAAGCCTGGTGGGAGATTCCAGGTGCTTCTGGAAGGGCCCTGGGGCCTGGGTGGCTCATCCTCCACGAACTCTTCCGGCCTCTGGGCGGTGCACAGTCATCCTGTCTCCAGAGCCTGCGGTACCTGGGCGTGTTGGACATCTGGGCAGGTGCTGGCTCCTGGTCTGTGCCCACAGCCTGAGGCCCCTGTGGAGACATGAGGGGGCTTCGAGATGTTTAAGAAGCGGTTCCCCCAGGCTCTGTGGACAAGCGTGGGGTCAGGTGACCCCCCCCCCCCCCGCACCTGCTGTTGTTAGTGGCGTTTTTTTCCCCCGCAGGCTTTGAAGACGACCCCCAGGCTGTGCTGCAGACGCTGAGGAGGTACATTCGCACCTTCTTTGGGTGTAAAGAGTGTGGTGAGCACTTTGAGGAAATGGCTAAAGAATCCATGGACTCAGTGAAAACCCCAGACCAAGCCATCCTCTGGCTTTGGAGGAAGCATAACGTGGTGAACGGCCGCCTGGCAGGTGAGAAGCGCCTGGGTGTGGGGTCATGAGAAGCATGGGTATGGGAAGCCCTCATCCTGGGGACAGTGGGGATGGCACGACCGTGGCGGGGCTTGCCTCTGAGCTTTGTGACCTCGTGCCACCTGCTGTGCTGACAGGATCAGGACTCGGATGGCCAGGAGCTGCCAGAGCCACAGCCTTCCCACGCTGCTTCTGTCCCTGGCTTTCCAGATGGTTCTCTGCCTCCGGGGGGCTCTTGGGCCCTTGTGGATATGGGTGTGGCTCTTTCTTCCCATCGTATTCTCGGGTACCCCACTAGACCCTGAGGGTATTTGGCTCTGGAAAGCTTGGAACATAATTTTTTTTTAGTCATTTTTTTTTTTTTTATAAAGATGGGGTTTTACCATGTTGGTCAGGCAGGTCTTGAACTCCCGACCTCAGGTGATCCACCTGCCTTGGCCTCCAAAGTGCTTGGATTACAGGCCTGAGCCACCGCGCCCGGCCGGAACATAATTTTTGATGAGGAATTTTAGTGTGAAAATCTGTTGTCCAAACGTAAAGCAAACCTCTCAAAGTGGTTTTGTTAAAAAAAAAAAAAATTAAATAGGGCACATGTATTTCTCAGAGTTAAGTACTTCAAACTATTCCTAAATCAGTGGCAGATTAAAATTAGGCTTAAAAATAATTCTGCTGAGAAATAAATCTTAATAGAGATGAAAAGAAAATGCCACTGAACTATGGGTTTTTATTTAATCCACTGTATTATGAAAACATATTACACTAAAGCACTAAGGAAAATGGGTTTTCTTTGCGCCGAGCCTGCCAGGGTATGGGGCATGTGGCCACAGGGGCCTGTGTCTGGGGGATTTGTTCCCTGGCTCAGCACAGCATCTCAGCATCTCTGCCCTGGCAGCCTCTGCGTTGCTGCCGCCCACAGAGCTCCCTGCACTCTTCTGAGCCCTCGGCTCTAAGGCAGTGAGACCAGGACCCTCGCCAGGGCTGCCTGGACCTGGAGGCCCTGCTGTTGCCTGTGGCCCCAGCCTGCTTATGTCTCCCCCGCCCCCGTCATGAGGCTGCAGCAGAAAGGGGCCTTCCCGCCCAGCATGACTGTCACTCCTGAGAGTCCCACCCCACCCAGTCCCACCTCCAGCCTGTGTATGGAGACCCAAGCTCCTGGGAACGCTCCTCAGAGATCTGCCAGGGGTCTTCCGCCCAGGGCTGGTGCCTTACTCTCCAGTCCTACTCGAGGCTGTGGCAGCTTCTGACCAAGCGCTTCTGGTCCATGCTTTGTTCCCTCTGTGGGACTCAGTGCCCTCTTTGAAGCGTGGCCGAGCACTGGGCAGCAAAACCTTACGAAGGTGGGTCCCGTCTGCATCCCCTCCTGGCAGTCCGTGGTGGGCGTGCAAAGCTGTGTCTACAAGGATGCTTGCTGCAGAGTTGTGTGCACGGCCGCCCACCAGGAACGGGTCAGATAAACACCCAGCACACCCGTGCGGGCACCCAGGTGTCGGAAGTATGTGGTAGGTTTGTGTTCACGAGCGCGGAGCTGCGTCGGGGCACGGACCCCGGTAGAAGAGCGTGTGGGTGGTCTCTCGGCAGGACAGACAGGTGTGTGTTTGCATGTGCAGGAGGGACCCGCAGGCCTCTCCTACCGCAGTGTGTCTGGGAGTAAAGTTGGGGCAAGCTCTGCTTGTCTCTCTGCACGTCAGTATTTCTTTTCTTCTTTCTTGATTTTTTAGAGAAGTACTGATCTTAATTCAGCATAGTGAAGGCTGTAGGTGTCCATCGCCTTTCAGCCTGAGCGCGAGCACACCGCGGAGATGCGCTGTTGGCCTCCTCCTCCTTACGTCACAGCGCCAGCGACACCGTTTTAATGAAAGCGTTAAACATAAGAAATAGAAATTTGAGGGTTTTTAAAGAAGTGTATAAAAGCCCCACAAAAGTTGTCAACTTTGTTCCTTATTCTACAAAATAGCATCAGTAGTAGTGTGCGAGGTGATAGAGGCCATCACAGCAGCCTTTCAGAGGGGCCGCTGGCGTGTCCTGTGTCCTGTTGTTCCCCAGCGTGAGCACATTGCTACAGAAAGGGATTTGGTCAGGAAAGGGCCAGTGCGCCTGAGTGCAGCGGAAACGCATCACCATCCACTCTGCCCTTTCCGGAGGGTGCACCTGAGGCCCACTGTCCATACAGCCCAGGTGGCCGGGGTGCCGGGGGCAGTGGGCCTCAGGTGCACCCTCAGGAAAGGGCAGAGGGGCAGCGACATGCAGACAGAGGCCTCGAGGTGGGAGTGCGCGCTGTCACCTGTTCTGGGAGTGGAGTGCTGCAAAGTGGCGGAGGCCGAGCCTGTAGCCTCTCCTTGCAGGCATGGGAGACGGCAGAGGGGCACATGCGGAGGCCTGCGGAAGCCCAGATGTCCTCTGGGCCACACTGCAAGGGAAGGATGGGAAGGGCAGGGAGGGAGGCCCGGCAGGACGCAACTCTGGGGCAGCAGAGGCCTGCGGTAGGCGGAGTAGGAGTCTGCCGGCAGATGCTGTACCTGGCCCCACAGGCCTCCTTCCCTCTGGCTCTCCTGCTTCCTTTTCTTCCTAGGCCATCCAAGTGAGGATCCCAGGTTTCCAAAGCTTCAGTGGCCCACTCCAGACCTCTGCCCAGCCTGCCATGAGGAAACGAAGGGCCTGGACAGCTGGGATGAAGGCCACGTGCTCACGTTCTTGAAGCAGCACTACAGCCGTGACAACCTCTTAGACATGTATTCTGCAGCCCGGGGGGATTCTGGTGAAGGAGGACCCCTGGCCAGGGGTGAAGAAGAGGAGAAAAGACCCACTCCCCCCGAGAAGTCCCGTGGAGACCGAGACGCCCAGAGCGTTCGTCCACCCAGTGCGCTGGGCCCCAGGCCCGCCCTTCCGGAGAGCTTGCACCACAGGCCGGATGTGAGACTCCAGAGTCTGGACGGGCCTGAGGTCCGCAAGCAGGTGGAGGTGGCTGTGCCCTTCCTCGGGGTTGGCTTCTCCAGCCTGGACATGAGCCTCTGTGTGGTGCTGTACGTGGCCTCGTCCCTGTTCCTCATGGTGATGTACTTCTTCTTCCGGGTGCGGTCCAGGCGGTGGAAGGTCAAGTACCATCACCCGGCTGTGTGAGTGCCCTCGGAGAGGCAGCCCCGCCCCGTGCCACCTGCAGCTTTAATATTGGATCAGGGATTTTACACGCGGGCCTGGTTTCGCACCCGATGGCACCTTTTGGCTTCCGAGGCCTCGTTTTACAAACGCTCTTCGACAAGGGAAGATGGGGGGTAATTTTGTGGGGACGTCTGCATTCCTGGCACGCTCAAGTCTGTTCATACTCCTTTCACAGGCTCTACAGCAGAAAGACTCTGTTTCCTCTAAGAGAGGGCGAGGAGTCCAGGCCAAATGCTGTTCCCCACACACTTTAATCTCAAGTGTCCTGGACTCCGTCTCATCCTGCAAGGCCTTGTTGCCCCTGCCCCTCCAGGCTGCCAAGTGTTCCCCGTTAGCCAGGTGGGGGCGGAGCAGAGCCGGAAGTGCAGGCGTGCACCACTCCAGGCACATGCCGCTCCGGTGACCCTCCGGTGTGCTTTCCACGCTTCCCTATGGAAGGGTTCCCGAGGGCTCGCTGCGCCCCTGCCGGTGTTTTCACTTCAGTTGTGGGTATTTGAGCAGGGGAGGAGCCGAGGGATTTCGTGGCTGTGCTGCGTTTCAGAAGATAACCCCCAGAGGCCTTGTGCCATGGACTTGGGTATGGGAAGGATGGTGGCTTATTTAACACTCAGAGGCAGTACCTTTGTTTATCTGGTGACAAGAGAAAGACCAGTAAATGGAGGGCAGCTCTGGGCTCAGCGGGCAGGCAGTGCTCAGAGCAGGGGCCCCTCTGATCAGGGGTGGGGAGGAGAGTGGTCTGCCCTTGGGAGCACAGGCCCCAGGGAGACTTCCAAAGCCCCCTCTGCGATCTACTCTTCACCCAGCACCACAGAGGCCTGCAGGTCCCAGCCACACACGCACCTCACTCTAGGCCCATGGAGGGGCAGGGGTGGCAGGTGCCTGTGCCAGGTTTCCTTTGCCTGAAGCTGCTTTGGGAAGGATCTCCACACAGGCACTGGTTTCCCAAGCTTTGGTCATGATTTCTTTTACCATTTAATAATTTTAAATATTGTTTTAAACCCAAAACGTTTAGTGGTCAATTACCTCTGAAGATTTAAACAAATACACTATTTCTGGGAACATTTATACTGAGCTTCTTTGTGGCTGTTGGTGTGTCTCACAGGCTAAATTTGATTTGGCTAAAGTAGGCTCAGATGTGTTTGTGTGACCATGTGTGTGTGTCTCTGACAGTTGTAAATATTTTTTCCGCTTTGCCCTCTTGGTGTTGTATACTCGTGTGTTAACTAACTGAGGCAGATCACATGGTATATTCGTAAGACCACCGTAATATCGATGTTACTGTTGCAGCTTGAGGAACACAGCAGCTGATTCCTTAAACGCCTGCGCTAAGGATGCCGCCCAGAGCCCCGTAGCTGGTGGGAGCGGTGTCTGATGCCGTGGCCTCTGGCTTCACGGCTCTCACGTGAGCGATGCTTCTGGTTTCACACTTTTAACCCCTCTGTGCTTGGACAGCCGTGACGTTGCCTTCATTGCTGGTTAGAGGCCTGGGTTATTGAAGACACCGGAATGTTTCTCTTTCAGCTTGAAAACCAGACGGGTCTACACGTGGGTTTCAGTGTATTTGCCTTTGAACCCTTAACTAAACTGACTTTTGGCTAGTGTTGAATGTCTTTAGCTAGGGTGACCTGGGACAGTGTTAGGTTTACCGTCTCCAGCTTCGGCCTTTCCAGAAACTCATGTGGAGCGCAGTGTGGCTGCAGTTTCGGCATCCTGTTGCAGTCTGGGGTCACCACTGTTGGGGGAACAAGCTTGCGACCTGCTGAGGGGCAGGGTTTTCACCTGTCAGTAGTGGGGGTCAGAGTCACTGCAGAGGTGGCCCCAGGGGTCACATGTCCATGCTCTAACACACCTCCTGTGACCGCTCAGAGCTGGATGCCGCCTTCAGGCAAGGGTTAGAGTCTATTTTCTCAAGTTTTAAGTATTTTAAGAGATATTGAGACTAATGAATATAATAGTTCAGTAATTTAAATGTTTATTTATTTTTAACGGAAGGATTTTTATTAAAAATAAGCTAATTGACATGGAAATGTCAGTGAAATTTCTTACCAGCAAGGAAAGTGAACATTTTGTATTTAAGTAAACTATAACATGCACATTTTATGAATAAAGAATCTGACATTTGAAAACAATTGTGATTCTTTTGAAATGTGAACCAGCTCTACCAATGAGAGTGTGGTGGGTGTGGTGGGGTGCAGAATGGACCCTTCTTTCTGTTGATGGACTGGACATCTGAAATTCTAGAATTTCTTATTTTGAACCATTGGCTTATGGAAGACAGCGAAAGGGTCAAATGGAAAGTGAAAGATGGAAATCAATGGTAGATTATCTCCTTGGAGCTGATCTGGATGGAGAGACAGGACAATACCCTGGATTTTACATGTGGATGAAAGGCAGCTGAGACGCATGTAAATAACACACTTCAAAGGGCACTGGCAGTAGCCCAGCTTGAGGGAACATCAGAGCAACCCCAGCCTGCATGAATGGCCACCCCCTGCTTCCCGGGTGTGAGTGTCCCGCCATGGCTGGGTTTGTGGTGCCCTATGGGGTTTCGTTTTCTTTTGCCCCGGCCCCACTTTTGCTGTGCCAGTGGGGGAGGGGGAGTGGTCTCCAGTAGTCTTGCCTGTGGCTTTGGAGGAGTCCGGTTGGCACCTCCCTGGTCAGGCTGTGCAGAGGCTGGCAGGGAACTCAGGCCCTGCCTATGCCCAAGGTTTTGAGTCCTGAGCAGCGTTTCTGTTAGGGGGACTGCAGGTGCCCCTCCTCCTGGCAACCTGGGGGACTCGGGCTAAGCTCTTCCCAGAAGTTGGGGGCTGAGTTCAAGGAGGTTAAGAGCAGGAAGTTCCGGCCGGGAGCGGTGGCTCACGGCTGTGATCCCAGCACTTCGGGAGGCCGAGGCAGGCGGATCACGAGGTCAAGAGATCAAGACCATCCTGGCCAACACGGTGAAACCCCGTCTCAATGTTTTTATTTAAAAAAAAAGAGCGAGTGGGAAGTTCCTTGACCAGCAAAATACCTGCATGAGGGCCTCAGTGAGCCCTGGGTTGGAGGTTATCAGGCAAGGGGCCATCCTGGGGCACGCCTGGGCACTGCCTTCCAGAGGCTGCCCGCCAGAAGGGTAGGGTCAATGGCCTCCCGCCCCGCGGCTGGACGACCCGCTTGCTGCGAATCCCGGCGCCTCAACGAAGCCTGGAGCTTAGGGAGGAGCTGGAGCGGGCGCTGCTACCCTGGCCTGGAGCTCAGGGAGGAGCTGGAGCCGGCGCTGCCACCCTGGGTCTGGGGCGAGGGCGGGGACTGCCCTGAGTGCGCGTCCGACGCTGCCTGCCCGAGCACCGGGGAGGAGGGCAGGAGCGGGGGTGGGGACGGGGGCGGCGAGAGGGACCCCGGGAGGTGGGCGGGCGCGCGGGCGGGGCGGGCAGTGGGCGCCTCCTTCAGCACCGCGGACAGCGCCCGGCCCAGTGGCGCTCAGGCTGCCGGTTCCGCACCACGCGGCGGGACTTCGGAGCCCCGAGCCCTCCCGGGAACGTCGACCTACGAGGAGCGCGGCTTGAGCCACTCGGCCTGGTGGCCGCGATGCTGCTGGAAACGGGGCTTGAGCGCGACCGAGAGAGGCCCGGGACGGCCGCCGTCTGCACCTTGGGCGGGACTCGGGGTAAGAGCCCGGGGAGTGCCCGCGGCCTCCAGCCCAGGCAGGGCACCGAGGACAGAAACGGCAAGGGCGGCAGAGATGCGAGGAAGGGGGTGCGCAGGGCTAGCGGCCAGGCCCAGAGAGTCCCACCGCTCTGCAGGCGGGACACAGAGATGGGAACACAGTGCAGGGAGAGTTTCCAGATCCCAGGGTGGCCGGGAGGGCCTGGCGCTAGCCTGCAAGAGTGCGGGACAGCGGTGGAGTAGAGGCCCCCAGAGAAAAGGGTGCATCGAAGGCACAGCTGGGGGCGATGGGGCCGAGCCAGGGGTGCCAAGTTCCCCGGAGACTAGTGCCCCTCAGCTCTTATACACAGCCCCACCCAGACCTCTGGACCCCACAGCAGGGAACCCAAGGCTGGGTCTCCCGCCCGAACCACTCTCCCCAAGGGCCATTCCATCACCACGGACGCTGGGAAATAATGGAGGCATTGTTGAAGAGCCGGCCAGATGCCAGCAGCGTGGGCCGCCTCCTTGACCTGCTGCCGCCCCTGCCCCCATCCAGCGACACACGGCCTCTGCCCGCTTCGTCAGCAGCTGACACCCGCCGCCTGCACCCGGCACAGCCCGAGCACACTCGGCTTTGTGCCCTCGGGTCTTTGCCCTGGCCCTTCTCGGGTAACAAGTGCTGTGCAAAGTGAAGGGGCAGAGAGCTGGCTGCATGGGCTGCTGCTCAAGATGGGCACATCGGACCTGCTGGGAGCTGGCAGGGGGACTGTGGTTTTCTTGCACCCATCCTTCTGGGCCTGGCCCCTGAAAGCTCACAGTCCAGAATGCATAAGCAGAGTGGACAGGGTATTACTGTCAGACCCACAGGGAGAGGGACTTGGAGGATGGCATTGGTCCCTGGTCCCTCAACCCTTCCTGGGTGTTTCTGCACTGCCAGGGCCCTCCTGTCCTCGCCATGTTCCGTGCTGTGTTCTTCCCCGGGTAGCTGCCCAGGGCTGGCGCTGGCCTAGGGCCCTCTGGGCAGGGGTGCTTGCGCCCCTCTGCCTGCAAGGATAGCATGGGTTCTGGAGAGCTCGCCTGTGTGGACTGGGGCAAAGCGCTGGAATATCAGGTAAAGAAACCGTGTTCTGACGGAGCCAGAGTGCCTGGGGCTGGAAATGGAGGGGTGCCCTGGACTTCCCAGCGCTGACGTCCACGACGCGAGGTCTTAGCTGCGTGTCCAGGACACAGAGCCTGTTCTCTCTCAAGGCTTGCTATTCTCCCCTGAGCCCGCTCCTGGGCCGCAGTTCCAAGGGTGGAGCCCAGAAGCCGGTTGGCATCTGGGATCGGGTCCTTGCGGTTCCGGTACGCAGCCTTCGGCGCCACACTCACCCCTTCCGCGTTTCGGACTGAGCTCCTGCCGATCTGCTCCGGCTCCCGAGGCCAAACCTCAGCGGCGGGAGGACCCGGTTGCCTTCTCAACCCTTCTCCCGGAAACCTTAGACCTCCTGGCGCGTGCTCCTCTGCCAGCGACCCGCTCCGGCGCAGGAAGCTGCGAGGCGGGGAAGAACGCTGGCCGGCAGCCCTGACCTGAGACCTCCCCTACCGGTGCCCGCCCTCGGGCTGAGCACGCGGGGCGGCCTGTGGGCACCGCAGGTCCCGGCGCAAAGGCGCGCGAGTCCGCGATCGCCCCGGGCTCGTCTCCGCGACCCCCGGCCCCGCCCCGCGCCGCGGCCCCGCCCCCCGGCCGCTCCGCCCTCAGCTCGGTCAGAGGCTCCGGGCCCCCGGGCAGCCCGCGGGCGCAGCGCCCAGCAGCACCGGGAGTCGGTCAGACGCCGGTTCGGAGCCACTGCGGCGTGGCGTCGCCGGGCCCGGAAAAGTTCGGGACCGGAAGAGAGGCGACGCCGGGCGGCGGGACCCATGGAGGCGCGCGGGGAGCTGGGCCCGGCCCGGGAGTCGGCGGGCGGCGACCTGCTGCTAGCGCTGCTGGCGCGGAGGGCGGACCTGCGCCGAGGTGGGTGCCCGGGCCGAGCGGCTGCACCGGGGAGACCCGGAGAACCTCGGGCCTTTCCGGGCCTGACCGCCGAGACTGGCAGGAGCTAGATTACCCGGGCTGGAGTGGGTCCGCGCCTGGGCGCCTCCGCCTGAGTTTGTTTCGGGGCCCCTGGCGCTGGGTTGTCAGGTAGTGAGGCTGTGGCGTGGCACTGCTCGGGCCAGGAAGCTCTCGGGGGTACAGGGCGGGCTTAGGAGACCCTCTGAAGCCCTGAGCCGGCCCCTGAGCTGGAAGAGGCGCAGGGAGCAATGGCGGGGCAGTGAGGGTCCCCAGGAGGGACGCCCCACCCAGACTCCTTCCACGTTCCAGGGGAACAGAGTCAGATGCAGGGGCCAAGGTCGAGCTGAACCTCGACCGTCTGTCTCCCCTAAGTCAGGTTTCAGCGTCTGCGCCCACAGACACCTGCTCGGTTTATCCCCGTCCAGAGCCCGTCGATAGGAAAAAACCTTGCTTCTCCGGGGCCCCCAATTTCCTTGAGGCACCACTCTCGCTCCCAGCACTTAGGTTCTTAGAGAACCTGGCAGTTCTCCGCGACTCCCGGGCCAGCTGGAGCCGCAGGATGGGGAAGGAGGCCCGGGACCGGTGGGGAGTGGGAGGGACCGGCCGGGGGGAAAGGGGTTTCATCCAGGCTGTGGGGGCTCGTTGTTCCCTACTTATTTATTTATTTGTTTATTTATTTATTTATTTTTCGACGGTTCCTGGGAGGGGTTGGCCGCGGGGGCTGGGAGGCGGAGAGAGAGAGGAGGGAGGAGGGCTGCGCGCCCGGCGCTCGGGAGAGCTGGCCGGAGCGGGCGGGCTGGCGTCCAGGCTCCGCCGGCCCCGCCATCCCCGAGAGCAGGAGACCCCTCCGGGGCCGGAGTCGTCATGCAGCGTAAGGCCGGGGTCGCGGGCGCGGCGCGGGGTGGGCTGGGGCGGCTTTTGCCTGACGCGGGCTCCGGCGGCTCTTTGCGGCCGAGGCGCTGTCCGGCCGGGGGTGCTGAACCCGTGCTTCGCGGGCCTGTCCGGCCACCTGGCTCGCTTTCCGCCGTGTCCTCGCCGCCCTGCGATCGCTGCTCACGTTGGGGACCCCGGGCGCGCCGCGGCGGTTCCTGAAGGCTCCTCACCCGGAGCTGCGGTTTTGCCGGATGCGGGGCACATTCATCGCGGGTTTCCCGCCACTGCTGTTGGCGGTGGAGCCCAGTTTTCTCCGCCAGAGGTAGAGGGAGCCCCTTCTCGGTTTCTCTCAGATACCGGGAAATGGGCTGGAGTCGGTGGGGTCCACAGCCAGGGAGGTAGGTGCAATGTTAGGGGGTCCCAACCCCTCTGCCGGGCACCCCCATCTTCCAGAGACTTTCTCTAAGTGTAGAGGGAGTCCTCAGCCCTTTGGCACCTAAAAAAGCCACTCCTGGACTCGAGGCTCCCACAGGACACCAGTGTGTTTCTCCAGCGTGTTTCCTCCAGGGGCCTGCAGTCCTGAAGTGGGGCATGGGGGGCAGAAGTGGCGAGAAGCCGGACGTTTGAGTAACTGTAACAATGTTGGGGGCACCCATGCCTGACACAAAGGCAGGGGATCGGCTTGTCCAGTCCACTCATAAGTACTTTTGCAGCCACGCAACGATGGGGACGACATTGTCATTTACCCTGCTGGCCTGCAGACAGGGCCACCAGGTGGGGCAGCCACATTTTCGGGGAGTCCCTAGAAAGAGTGGCCACGAGGCTTAACGTGAAGGAGCCCCCGATGGGGTGCCGCAGCTCTAGGTGTTGGTGAGGACCCGTTTCCCTATTTTTCCTGCCTGTCTTCGGAGAGCAGATCCCCCTGGGGTAGGGTTTTCATTTGAGCTCCACATGCACCTTTCTTGGCACTGGGAACATTTTGTAATTGAGTATCCGGTCTCATGGAATGGCCTGGGCTGCTTTCCTTCTCAGACACATTTTTAGACGGTTGTCAGTTTTCCCTTAGCTCCCGCCGTAGGATGAGGTGCCTGTGCACTCCCGGAACTCGTGGGGCCACTTAAGCTGGCTGGGGAAGAGGGTGTTCAGGGAAAGGAGGAGCCCTCAGCAGCCCTGGCTTGGCTTGGGGTGGGAAGATGGCTTTGCTGCCTCCTGGTCTAGGAGGTGACCCACAGCTTCCTCATGCCCACAGAGATCCCGCTGTGTGCCGGCTGTGACCAGCACATCCTGGACCGCTTCATCCTCAAGGCTCTGGACCGACACTGGCACAGCAAGTGCCTCAAGTGCAGCGACTGCCACACGCCACTGGCCGAGCGCTGCTTCAGCCGAGGGGAGAGTGTTTACTGCAAAGACGACTTTTTCAAGTGAGCCCCGGAGCCTCGCGTTGGTGTGGGAGCGGAGGGCACACAGGTCCTGGGGAAAGGAGGCCTGGAGTTCTGCCACCCCAGGACCTCCTCCCCTCAATCACTGAGGCCAGGCCCTCAAAACCCAGGTCTCCAGAGATCCCAGCCCCATCCTGTCACCCAGGCAGGGCACCCTGTGGCCCGGCCAAGCTAAGGGTGGGGCCTCTCCATGGGTGCTCCCTGGGCGGCCTGGCCTGGCTGGGACATCAGCAAATATTATTAGGAAAAAAAAGCAATTTATTTCTTAAATCACAGAAGCAGTCATTAGAGAAGATAAGCCCACATTTGTAAAATTCTATTGAACTTAGTTCCTCTGAAATTGGTGGTGTTTTTGTCCTTAATGCTGGGGACTCAGGGGCTCTGGCCCAGTGGCCTTCATGGATCCACCTCTGGGGTCTGAGAAACCGGCCCCAGATGGGTCCTCTCCCTCCCAATTCACCTTCCCAGATCCAGCATGGGTCCTGCAGGCAGTGGAGACAGGGCTCCCCCAGGTCCTCCTGACCGGAGGTTGTGGTTCCCTTCTCAGTGGTAGTGGGAGGCCAGGCTGGTTGACCAACCTGCAGGCCAGACAGAGCCTTCCTCCGGGACCGCCTCCCCAGGCACCCGATTGCTGCTCTCCGACCCGCTCGGGGCGAAATGAGCCTCGCGCTGCCACGCTGAGCCGGGCCCTGTGCGTCCCGCAGGCGCTTCGGGACCAAGTGCGCCGCGTGCCAGCTGGGCATCCCGCCCACGCAGGTGGTGCGCCGTGCCCAGGACTTCGTGTACCACCTGCACTGCTTTGCCTGCGTCGTATGCAAGCGGCAGCTGGCCACGGGCGACGAGTTCTATCTCATGGAGGACAGCCGGCTCGTGTGCAAGGCGGACTATGAAACCGCCAAGCAGCGAGGTCAGCGGAAGGGACGACGCCCCCTCCTTTCCTGGTCTGAAAAAGTGGGGCTGAGACCAGGCCTGGGGGTGGGGTGGGGTGGGGGCTTCCTGGGAAATCCTCATGCCTCGCGGTGCCCCCAAGCGCTCTCTAAGGGGCCCGGGCTAGGGCGGTGGCGGCAGCAGGAAGCCGAGGCCGGGAGCGGCGGAGTCTTGGCGTGGACAGACCCGCAACCCAACCGACTCACTGGGTCCGAAGTGTGCGGCTTTTTCATCCCTAGTCGGAATTACTGCCCTAAATCCTTGGCCGCGAAGACTGGGCCATACCCACACCCTTAGAATAAAGGGGAGGGAGCCCACGAGGGGAGCAGAGTATTTGGAGTAGGGGGGCCAAGGCTGAAGGCGGGAGCGCCAAAGAGGGTAGTGGGATTTTAGGGAAGACGCCACCCCCGCTCCGCAGCAGAATCCGCCCTCAGCCAGCGCCCCCTCCACCCGCCCTGGGGGCCGCGGGTTTTCGACAATCGCTCCCAGGGCCCCCGCGTTCCGAGAAGCCCGTGGGGTGGGCTGGAGGTGGGCACCTGGGGCCCCGACATCCCCGCGCAGGCTGGAGTGGGGCGCGCTGGGGGTCCGGCTGGGGCCGGAGGGGCGGCCAGGCCTCACCGCTCACCCGCCGTTCAGAGGCCGAGGCCACGGCCAAGCGGCCGCGCACGACCATCACTGCCAAGCAGCTGGAGACGCTGAAGAGCGCCTACAACACCTCGCCCAAGCCGGCGCGCCACGTGCGCGAGCAGCTCTCGTCCGAGACGGGCCTGGACATGCGCGTGGTGCAGGTCAGCGCTCGCCCCCGCGCCCCTCCCGCCTCTCCTGCCCGCGGACTTGGGGGCCCCGCAGAGCCAGGCGGCGACTCACCCCGCCCCGCCCCCAGGTTTGGTTCCAGAACCGCCGGGCCAAGGAGAAGAGGCTGAAGAAGGACGCGGGCCGGCAGCGCTGGGGGCAGTATTTCCGCAGCATGAAGCGCTCCCGCGGCGGCTCCAAGTCGGACAAGGACAGCGTCCAGGAGGGGCAGGACAGCGACGCCGAGGTCTCCTTCCCTGGTAGGCAGGGGGATCGCGGAGCGCGTGGAGGGAGGAGCGCGCGTCGGAGGGGTCGCAGGGAGCCTGCCGCTCTGAATTTCCCAGGGGGTTAGCGGACTCCTTAAGTTGTGCTTTCAGAAGCATTTCATTTACAGAACCTGGTCCCCCAGCACCCTCCCCGCCCTTGGTGGCCATTCCGGACCACTGCTTTTCTCCTGGTGGGGACAGAATCCCCGTGGCCGGACCTGTCCCCAAGCTGGGCGCCTACGGGGCTTTCTCCTGGGGAGGGGTGGGGTGGGTGTGGGCAGGCGGTCTCTCTGGCTCCTAGCCCTTGCAGTGGTTTTTAGGAGAATGGGCCCCGCATCTGGGGAGAAACTGAGTCAAAGTCCCAGCTGCTTGGAATTGGGGGAGGGGGCTACCTGGGGTCAAGGAGAGAAGGTTCCATACCCTTCTGTGGAGCCTGAATTATTTATTTATTCTCCGGCACTGAGGCTGCTGCGCTCCCATCCCTTGAAGCCCAACCTCACAGAGTCTGCAAGACACTCTCTTCGTTGTTCTCTGGGCTACTCACTCAGCCTCTCTGGAACTTAATTTCCTTGTCTGCAAAATTCGGGTGATGGTATCCGTGCCCCTCCCTGGGCTGCCGTGGGGCTGGTCCTGAAAGCTTGGGCCCTGGCTGGGCTGGTCCTGAAAGCTTGGGCCCTGGCTGGGCTGTTCCTGACTCTGATCCCATCGGGCATGAAACACCCTGTGCTGACTCAGGCAGTGGAGGGCCAGGGGCAGCCATGCCTTCCATAGCAGAAGGGGCTTGCTCTGACCTGTCTTGGGCATGGGGCAGCCACTCCTGCCCCTCCCAGTAGTGCCTCCGACGGCAGGATGGGACTCTGAGGGGCCAAAGGTGAAGGTCGGGCATGGACTGAGCCTCTGCTTCCATTGCAGATGAGCCTTCCTTGGTGGAAATGGGCCCGGCCAACGGCCTCTATGGGAGCTTGGGGGAGCCCACCCCGGCCTTGGGCCGGCCCTCGGGAGCGCTGGGCAACTTCACACTGGAGCACGGAGGCCTGGCAGGCCCAGAGCAGTATCAAGAGCTGCGCCCCAGCAGCCCCTACGGCGTCCCCCCATCCCCTGCCGCCCCTCAGAGCCTCCCCGGCCCCCAGCCCCTCCTCTCCAGCTTGGTGTACCCAGATGCCAGCTTGGGCCTTGTGCCCTCAGGAGCCCCAGGCGGGCCCCCGCCCATGAGGGTGCTGTCCGGGAACGGACCCAGTTCCGACCTCTCCACGGGGAGCAGCGGGGGTTACCCCGACTTCCCTGCCAGCCCCGCCTCCTGGCTGGATGAGGTGGACCATGCTCAGTTCTGACCCAGGCCCGGCTCCACCCAGCACCGGACACTGGAGAGCTGCCCCTGCGTGGGTGGCTCGGGGCAGCTGGGGCCTCTGAGGAAGTGGGGCCAGGGCGTCAAGGGAGGGCTGGTGCCTTCGGAGCCTCCCACCGCCAACCACACAGCTCCCTCCCTGGGGGGCTGAGGGACCCACCTGGCCCCTCCTCCGACACAGGGCTGGCCCGTAGGTGGCCCCCCAGCAAGCCGCCTGTTTTGTAAGCAAATTTCTCCCCTTTGTTGACCAATTAGCTGAGCACCTGCTGCTGTTTCTAGACATGAAATGTCACCTTGCTGAGGCCCAGCCCAGCATAGCCCAGGGGCTGGAAAAACTCTTTCATTTCCAGAACTGAGAAATCTTCATGATCTCACCTTCACTTCCCAGGCTCCATCTCTCTCGGAGCCGTTACCCTAAGCCTCCCTCTTTAGGTCAGAGATTGGCCTTGCCTATCCCGGGAGGAGGCAACAGAGGTGGGGACACACCTGAGTCCTCCGGGAGAGGCCCCCTCCTCTCCCCGGGCCAAGGTGGGGCAAGCCTCCCTGCCTCCAGCCCCGCCTTCCCCGGGAACAGCTTTTCCCAATGCCAGGTCTCTAGATCTTTCTGTTTTTGAGTGCCCTGTGGAGGAGGCAGAAATGCCTGGGGCCCCTTCTCTCCAAGCTCAATTCTCTAAGCCCCTCAGGGTCTCCACCCCAACCCCACACCAGGCCCTCGGTGTCCAGGCTGCACCCACAGATGTCGGTTGCCAAACAACCATGCTCTCCCTGCTGAGCCGGCTCGGCCAGCCCCCGATGGGGAAGTCTCCCCCTGGAGAAGGCTGGGGCTCCTTTGAGCCTGCCCTGCCTCCGCCATCAGATCCTTTGGGAAGAAGTTTCTGGGAGGCGTCTGCAGCTGTGCTTGCCCCAGACACAAAGGCTGACCCGCGTGTAAGTCAAAGTCACTCCCACAAACCTCAGTCTCGAGCTACCTATTGGTTCTGTGAATGTTCCGTGTCTTTTATTTATTCTCGGGTGATCAGCTCTTTCCAAGACTTCAATAAATTTGTCAGTTACGGTCAATGGAAGGCCCTTGTCTTTCTGAGGCTGCAGGGGTAGGGGGTTGGGTGTGGGGAACGTTCTTTGAACACTGAGAAGCAGCCCTGAAGGGGCCTTGGGTCCTCCCTAGTTCCTTGCTTGGGCTGGCTCCTGGTATGAATCTGGGCTCTCTTTACTCCTGGATCTTGGCCACACTCCTGAGCACTGGAAGGAGGTGTGCGGGAACAGCCCATCCATTCCTGATGAAGGGGAGGGGTAGGGGTCTCTGCACTCAGTCACTGGGAGAGGCAGAGGCTGGGATGTCCAGAGAGCATGACAAGGGTAGGGGGTGGGCCGTGTGTGCCACTCACAGCTTGCAGCTGGCACCAGCCCCAGGACAGCTGGCATAGGCTGTAGGGTGACCAGCCTCATGGTTGTGGAAGTCTCTCCAGCTTGGATTCCAATCCTCTCTTCTAACTTGCTGTGTGACCCTGGGCTGGCCTCCCACTCTTCTCCCCAGCTCCCCTCACCTTCCCCCTCTTCCCTCCCCTCCCTCTTCTCCCTCTTCCCTCCCCTCACCTTCCCCCTCTTCCCTCCCCTCCCTCTTCTCCCTCTTCCCTCCCCTCACCTTCCCCCTCTTCCCTCCCCTCCCTCTTCTCCCTCTTCCCTTCCCTCTCTTTGCTCCTCTCTCCTTTCCCCCCTCCCCTTTCCCCTGGCCTGAGCTTTCTCTTCTGTGAGATTGAGGGAAGCAGGCCCTCTGAGCCCTGCTTCCCCTGCTGTAAAGAGAAGACAGTGGTGACAGTCCCCTCAGAGGGCAGGCAGAAGGTGTGTGTGCCCCACCCCCACCCCAGGTGAGTGCTCCTATAGGGGCAGGTAGAAGCAGGTAGAAGCAGGCAGGGTTGACTCTCCCACTTCTGCCTTCCCTCCTGCAGGATGGCAGGGCTGGGCCTCCTCCCTGAGGGTCTCTCCCTCCAAGGGTCTCCCTGGAGCAGAGTGGGGGCTGGAGGAAGGAGCCCCTTTGGAGCCTGGGTTTCCTATTTCTCATTGGAGCAGGAGGGACGGTGGAGGAGCCCGGGAGAGCCTTTCCTGGGGACCTTTACACTGGCCTCAGTTCCCCCAGTAAGGGTGGGAGCCCCCTGCAGAATGTGGCCAAGGAAAGCTGCTCTGAGCTGCAGGACCAGGGTCTTCCCCCTTTTTTAATCCCCCCCAGTCTCTCCAGGACCAGCCATCTTTTGGGGGGAACTGTTTGGGACCAGTTGTCTTTTTTTTTTTTTGAGGCAGAGTTTTGCTCTTGTCACCCAGGCTGGAGTGCAGTAGTGCAATCGGCTCACTGCAACCTCCGTCTCTAGGGTTCAAGCCATTCTCCTGTCTCAGCCTCCTGATTAGCTGGAACTAAAGGCTCCCACCACCACACCAGGCTAATTTTTGGTATTTTTAGTAGAGTTGGGGTTTCACATATTGGTCAGGCTGATCTCAAACTACTGACCTCAGATATTCCGCCATCCTCCGTCTCCCAAAGTGCTGGTAGTCTCCCCACACCCGGCCAGCTAATTTTTTGTGTTTTTATTAGAAACAGGGTTTCACCAGTTGACCCGGCCAAGGGATCAGCTGTCTTTTGAGGGACATCCTTTTGGGATGAGTGTCAGGCACATCCTCTTCTGAGTTCTATAGCTGCTGCTTCCTTCAATCTCACAGAAGAGAAAGCTCAGGCCAGGAGAAAGGGGAGGAGGGAAGGAGAGGATCAAAGAGGGGGAAGATGAGCAGACGGAAGAGGGGGAAGGGGAAGGAGGAAGGGGGGAAGGGGAGTGGAGGAGAGGGAAGAGGGGGAAGGGGGAGGGAGGGAAGAGGGGGAAGGGGAGGGAGGGAAGACCGGGAAGTGGAGGGAGGGAAAAGTGGGGAGGGAGGAGAGAGGAGGGAAGGGGGAGGGGAAGGAAGAGGGGGAAGAGGGTGGGGAGCTAGGGAGAAAAGAGTGGGAGACTGTCTTCAGCCTTGCAGGCTTGGGCAGCCCTGGGGTCTGGCAGTGATGGGTCTGGGGCAAAGGGGCTCTGAGAAACATCACAGGGAGAGGATGTCCAGGCTGCCCTGACCCTGACCCCTGCTGACCTCTAGGTGCCCACAGACCCCAGGTCTGCTGGGCTGAGCCTGGCAGGGGCTCTGGCGGGCTCCTGGATCTGTTCACTCCACAAACCTTTATAGAATTGGTCGTGCTCCTCCATCGGCCCCTGCCTGTGGGGAGACTGAGGCCCAGAGGGGGAAGGGGCCTGTCCTGGGCTGGACCTCCTGCCACTGCCACCCCGCGGCTGCTGCCCAGGCCAGCGGGGATTCTGTCCTCCCAAGCACCACCCGCCTCAGCGCCCCCACCCCGTGGCACGTGGCTTTCCGCCCCCAGGTTCTGGCAGCCCCTCTGCGTCGAGGAGGCACCGGGCAACCCTGGGAATCGGAGAGACGCGCAGTCACCCGGGTGGCCCTGGCAGGGGAGAAGGGCCCCGACGGCCACGGAGGATGGAGGCGACCAGGGCCCAGTGGACACGCGCGAAGCGTGGAGGCCGTGGGGTTGGACGCGGGGGTGGCGCCCGGGGACCGAGACCGGTGCGAGTGAAGGCGAAGGCGCGCGGGCGGGAAAGCGCGAGGTTCCGGGCGGCCGGGGGTGGCGGTGCTCCCAGGGCAAAGACTCCGGCTGGCGGCCCCGCGGCCAGGCACGGGCCCTGGGGGGACGACCTCAGACTCTCTTACGGGGCAACCGGCCCTTCGCGGGAGAAAGCGGCTCGCGGCCCAGGTCGGAGGCGGGATTTAGGGAGGAGCGCGGCCGCGGGGTGCGGCGCGGGCTGGAGGGGCAGCCCCGAGGAGGGGGCGCAGATCCTCCAGCCCCACCCCCACGCGCCCCAGCCTCGGGTCCCTCCTCCAGGCCGCCCGGGACCTTTTAGGCACTGACAGGTTAATAAAGTGCCGAGTGTTCCCGCGGGGCCCCCGCCAGCCCGCGCGCAGCCCCCTCCAGAGGCCGCTCCAGCTGGCGGCGCGTCGATAATCCCGGAGCCCGTGGCCGCCCTTGCCTCGAGTGGGGGCGGGGCTGCACCCGACGCCCCCCGGGGAGCCGGGGGTAGGGGGCGCGGCTGGATCGGCGCAGGGAGCGGGGCCTGCGCAGGTGGCTTCGGTGACGGAGACCCGCGGTGCCCTGGACAGCTTGTCTGCGTGACCTCTCTGGCCTCAGTTTCCCGATCCGAGCGGAGCGCGCGCCGCTCTGGCAGAATCCGGTTCCGCCCCGCGCGGGCCTGGGGGGTGCCTGTGACCTCCCCCGCGTCCCAGGCTCCGATCTCCTCCGGCTGCCGTTCCGCACCCACGAGGGCGAACCCAGAATCAGACTTAAGGCCGCGGCTCCAACCGCGACCCCCGCCAGGACCTGGGGAGCCCAGCAGGGGCCGCAGACCTCAGGCGGAGAGAGACCTCGGGCCGCGGGGCTGTCTGAAGGTTCCGGCAATAGAGAGGTGAAGGGAGGGAGAGGGCGGACCCCCATCGTCCCTGGGCCCCGCCCCAAGGCGACCGACGCCCCTTCCTTCCAGGGCAGAGTCGTTTCTCGCGGACAGTGGATGCTTCAGCTGCGCTCCTGCGGGTTGTCAGCCCCGAATTCGGGGCTCCTAGGGGTTCGGGGGCAGATCGAAGGCTGAGGTCCCGCCAGCGGCTGGGGTCTGCCGGTCTGGGACCCTGGAGTGGCGGGCGAGGCGGGGCCCAGGGGCGCGGCGGGAGAGGGTGGTCCGGGCGGAGGGAGACCCCAAGCTGGGACCCGCCCGGCTCTGCCGGCGTCGCTGGCCCAGGGAACTCGGAGGGCCAGGGTTCTGCGCGGCATGGGGTGCAGAGAGCCGGCGCGGGGCGTGCGCCCGGGAACGCGTTTTGTCTTTATTTCCCGCTCTTTGGGGTCCCGGCCCGAGAGGCAGCGGGGGTCCCTACCAGGGAGGACCGACCCTGGCCCCCAGGTCCCCATACCCCTTGCAGCAGGGGCGGGGATGGGGGGCCCCTTGGCGGGACGGGGGAGGAGCTTGTTAACTCTTAATCCGGCAACCGTGTTACTTCATCCAACTTTAATATCTGAATAATAAAATAATTTCAACCAACACATGAAAAGGGCTTCTTTTAGCTTAAATATGAAATTCACGCGAAGAGCTTCTTCCAGCCCAAAGGAGCTTCCCAAAGCAGGGGATGCCTCAGAACTCACATCGACACGCCTCCCTTTCCCTAGGAGCAGGGACACCCCTGACCTCCCCTCCTCTCCCTCTTCACCATCTGCCGGCAGGTCCAGCGCCCCTCCCCAAGGGTGGACAGGAGCGGGCGGGGGCCCAAATCCTGGGCTTGCCTGGCCGAGTAGCAGTTCTGATAAATCAGAGGTTTTTACAGGGAATCAGCCTGCGGCGCTAAATCCCAGGGGCTGTAATGATCAATTCTTTAAGCCCATAATTGTTTAAATTACTCGGAGCAACATAAAACATTAATTTTAAGAAATTTAATAGAAAAAAGCTCTTTAAATCCACAACGAGATAAATGACACCCAGTATGGCGACCTTTTTCCATACCTTGGTGACATTGAATAATCTGAAAGTTATTTACATTTTCATTCTTCGTGGAAAATGTTGACAAGCTTTTGGCCGTGGGTGAGGTGCGTAGTGGCGCTGGAGCACCCCCTCCCCCCTAATTAATGGGGGAGCAGCGACTTCATAAGCAGAATTTTCATCAGTCTGCTGTGCGACCTCGGGTGACGGCTCCCACCCTCCTGGAGCTGATGCAACTGCAGCTCATTTTTTACCATAAAAATATTCCGTCCTGACCAGCGGAGCCCCCTCTTGGCATTCAAAAGTAGGTGTGAGACGAAGATGCAGCTGTCGTGTTCAGGGCCTAGGACAGAGCCCAAGGCCAAACCTAGGAGAAAACTCCGGATTCTGCAGTCCCCGCCCCACCCCACCCCCCAAGTCCACGCTGCCCTGCTCTAGAAGCCGCCTCGCTGTGGGGTCGGCCCTGCCCCGGGAGCCACAGGCCCCAGATAGCACAGAGCCCTCCAC